CTCACCATCACTGCCTCACCGTCACCCCCTCACCATCACCGCCTCACCGTCCCCCTCTCACCATCACTGCCTCACCGTCACCCCCTCACCATCACTGCCTCACCGACCCCCCTCACCGTCACTGCCTCACCAGGGGCCTGCCAGGAGATAAGTTTCCCAGTTAAAAACTTACCTCATGCAATCAGTGGCCTCCATTTTTTGCAGCGGGAGCAGTGAGAGCGAGGACCAGGGGCCTGCCGGGAAAGTAAGTTTTTCATTTCGGCAGCGGAGCTGAGTGGGAGCGGTCGAATTGCACTCTGGGAAGATGAGTGAACTGATATATTTGGGCAGTGGCTAAACCCGAGACACTACATGTGCAGTGTCTCCCACCCGCTCCCCTCCTCTGACTCTGCTGTGTTGATAAGTTAAGTGTTTTTCTTTTTCTCGTTTTTATCGTGTGCTGGTAAGTAGAGTGATTTGGTACAAATTTTTTTCATTTCATTTATCTAGTATTTCATATTATAGTAGGATTAAGCTAAGCTTGAGTAAAAATGGAAGGAGATCCCAGACCCAAGTTATGCTCCTCTTGCTCAATATGGGAGCTCAGGGACGCGGCTGATGTCCCTGACTCCTACACGTGCAGGAAGTGTGTCCAGCTGCAGCTCTTGTTAGACCGCATGACGGCTCTGGAGCTGCGGATGGACTCACTTTGGAGCATCCGTGATGCTGAGGAAGTCGTGGATAGCACGTTCAGCAAATTGGTCACACCACAGATTAGGATTGCTGAGGGAGAAAGGGAATGGGTGACCAAAAGGCAGAAAAAAAGCAGGAAGGCAGTGCAGGTTTCCCCTGCGGTCATCTCCCTCCCAAACAGGTGTACCATTTTGGATACTGTTGGGGGAGATGGCTCACCAGTGGAACGCAGCAGTAGCCAAGTTCATGGCACTGTGGCTGGCTCTGCTGTACAGAAGGGCGGGTAAAAGAATGGAAGGGCTATAGTCACAGGGGATTCGATTGTAAGGGGAGTAGATAGGCGGTTCTGTGGTCAAAAACGAGACTCCCGAATGGTATGTTGTCTCCCAGGTGCACGGGTCAGGGATGTCTCAGATCAACTGCAGGACATTCTGAGGCGGGAGGGTGAACAACCAGCTGTCGTGGTGCATATAGGCACCAGTGATATAGGTAATAAATGGGATGAGGTCCTACAAGCAGAATTTAGGGAGTTAGGAGCCAAGTTAAAAAGTAGGACCTCAGAGGTGGTAATCTCAGGATTGCTACCAGTGCCACGTGCTAGTCAGAGTAGAAATGAAAGAATAGGCAGGATAAATGAGTGGCTTGAGAGATGGTGCAGGAGGGAGGGGTTCAGATTTTTGGGACATTGGGGCCAGTTCTGGGGGAGGTGGGACTATTACAAATCGGACGGTCTACACCTGGGCAGGACTGGAACCAATGTCCTAGGGGGTGCTTTTGCTAACGCTGCTGGGGAGGGTTTAATGTGGCAGGGGGATGGGAACCAAATGAGGAGGTTAGTGGACAATACAGAGGTAGTAACTGAAGCCTGTAAGGAACTAGATAATGAAGTCAGTGTGACTAAGGGGAAGAGTAGGCAGAGAGCAGATGATGAACGCAAAGGGACAGGTGGTCTGTGGTGCATCTGTTTTAGTGCGAGAAGTGTAGTAGATAAGGCAGATGAACTTAGGGCTTGGATTAGTACCTGGGAGTATGATGTTATTGCTATTACTGAGACTTGGTTGAGGGATGGGCAAGATTGGCAACTAAATATCCCAGGGTAAAGGGGGTGGAGGAATTGCATTACTGGTCAAAGAGGATATCACAGCTGTGCTGAAGGAGGGCACTATGGAGGACTCGAGCAGTGAGGCAATAAAGGCGGAGCTCAGAAATAGGAAGGGTGCGGTAACAATGTTGGGGCTGTACTACAGGCCTCCCAACAGCGAACATGAGATAGAGGCACAAATATGCAGACAGATTATGGAAAGATGTAGGAGCAACAGGGTGGTGGTGATGGGAGATTTTAATTTTCCCAACGTTGACTGGGATTCACTTAGTGTTAGGGGTTTAGATGGAGCAGAATTTGTAAGGAGCATCCACGATGGTTTTCTAGAGCAGTATGTAAATAGTCCAACTTTGGAAGGGGCCATACTGGACCTGGTGTTGGGGAATGAGCCCGGCCAGGTGGTTGAAGTTTAAATAGGGGATTACTTTGGGAATAGTGATCATAATTCCATAAGTTTTAGAATATTAATGGACAAAGACGAGAGTGGTCCTAAAGGAAGAGTGCTGAATCGGGGGAAGGCCAACTATAGCAAAATTCGGCAGGAGCTGGGGAATGTGGATTGGGAGCAGCTGTTTGAGGGTAAATCCACATTTGA